AGAGAGTGATGGATAGGTTGACGCAATCAGAGGGATACTTGTACCCAGATCAAATCATCATCTTAAGTGATGCTTAAGGCGGTGTTAGACTTCATAGAAGAAGGTTTCACTGTGAATCCTGAGACGTGTGCAGTAAGATTAGAGGACGCCAAGTACCTTGGATACATTGTGGGTAGAGATATGGTAAACCCTATGTTGTTTTCTCAGAATTTAAGTCTATATTGTGCCAGCATTGTGTGCTGATAGCTCCAGACATCTCCAGGGAGTCTGTTGTGCAGAAAGACGCTTCTGATGTGGACCTAGAAACTGTTCTGTTACAGGTCATCAATGGGCAAAAACATCCTATCATTATTCGTATCCAGATGCTCTCACTTGGAAAAATATGCCGTAGTGAGGCAGAGCATAGACATGGGAGAATGCATCAAAATGCTGATGTCCACTCTTGAGTACATATATATATATATATATATATAAAAATATCTTCTAAATAGATACACCAAGGGCCGCCTCTCACATCCATTCATTGCACACCTTTCAATTTACTGCCTTAGGCTCTTCCAAGCAACACAAACATCTCAAAATGTTTTGCACAAACCACCTGCCCATTCTCACAGTGTTTGCAAGCAAAGCAAATGTGTATATAGGGTTGATGTTCCCTAATAATATTAATGTAGGTAGCAAGAGAGGGCCAGCCCATAACTTTTGTAGGGCTTAGAGTTTCTATTTTTCTGGTCGCCGAGAGTACATCCGTTTAATCAGTTGACATCCGCGGTGTTAAACCCCCTTCCCATCCAGGCCATTTTTCAGTATTCAGCGCTGTGGTACTTTGACTGACATTTATTCCGTCATGCAGCGCTGTACTGAAATGAATTTTATACCCTTTTTTGGGGGCAGATAGAGCTTTCTTTTGGTGGTATTTATACACCACTGGGGTTTTTATTTTTTTACTATATTAAGGAAAAATTACCGAAATTAAAAAAAAACAACAGTTTCCCCTATATTAAATGATAAAACATTTATTATTACCCATTTTTTTGGTAAAATATAAAAGATGGGGTCACGTCGGGTAAAAAGACACCAAACATGTCAAGCCTTAAAATTGCGTGCGCACGCGAAACCTCAAAAAACGATAATACCCAAAATTGGCCATAGGCGACGCTTTAAAAGCTGTTACCGCTCATCAGTTTAGTGTTATCAGTGATTGATGGCCCTAAAATGGCAGAGATCTGCTTCATCAGCTTCTTTTCTCTGGCTATAGCAGCCAGATGACTGACAGGTGAATGCGGAAGTGATGTAATACACATCACTTCTGCATTCACAGCCCGGACGGAGATCAGCAAG